CATTGATCTTAAAAACCGATTAGCATATAGGTTCACTGTGTTATAACAGATCAACAGCACAACAGCCCTCGTTAGCTATGAAAGGGTCTGCTAAAATTTGCATGCTGGGCAGGTAAAATGAAAATCGCATTTTAAAAAGTAACCTCTAATATAAAAGAGTGCTGAAGTAAGACATAGGTACTCGCCTACAATACGGCGTTAAAGGATTAAAAGGATTTTTCCAAAAAATCGCACGATACTTGAAATACAGGATTTTTAAAACGATACGAAGTCATGGGCACAGGAATAAATAGAAAAAGACTAAATAGAAACTTATGTCAGGCTAGGACTTAGATGAAAATCTCATTTCACATTAAGAGTATTTGCAAGACACTTACAGTTATGGTATGTATAGATACCATAAAATCATTTCATTAATAAATGTACGGAATTTCATTAATAAATGTGTATTTCAGTACGTAAAATGTACGGAAGTTCATTACAAATCCATATTTAAGTAATTTCCAATTGATACGATTTTCACCAATGAGGCGTTAAAGTAGTCTTTAATGAAATCAATTATTTAATGTGGCAGGATATGTACTTACTTTCGATACATTTTCAGTAAGCACTTTATTTTCTGATTATCTTACTGCTGCCTTTGTATATGTCAATATTATTGAAGCTTCAAATAATTAAGAACTTTAAGATACAGAAAGGTTTATCCTCGTTATTAATTCTAATTACTTTTACCAGTTACTATTTTTAGTTTCATTGTAATAAAAGTAATAAAAAAGGACCAAAGTAAAATATATAAACAAAGTTGGGTAATTTATTGAATTACTAATACGAACTCAAGTTCATAGTCGTTGCCCGCGACTTCGTTCGCGCTGAATATGATTTCTGTTTTTTCCCATGGGAGCATTTAATTGGCATAAAAAGTATCCTATCACCTAAGTCAGCCTATACCCTGCCTGTATAGCCAATTTTTTCAAAATCAGTTCAGTAGTTTCAGTGTGATTGACGGAGAAACAAAGAATCTTTCACATTTATATTGTGTGTAATGGTAGTTTTAAAACATCTACCGTACACTGTCTTATCATGTTCAGAAATCAAATCTCAGATCTTTATGGAGCGGTCACTTGACTAATACGATGTTCTACCATAATGTATAGGTACCATACCTTTCACATATTTTACTCAGAACAAGTATTTATGATACTGTAAGTCTTTTGTTCATTCATTTTCCCCGTCATAGAGTAATTCAAAAACTATTTTTCATTCAGCAAAAGATATTAATAAATAATTTATGAGATCAACATCTTCGTGTATATTTCTAGAACCGACTAACTATCTTCTTGAAATAAATATTATTTTCTTTTACTTCATATTTACTTTGCTATTAAGGCTTATTATAACAAGTTAAACTGGAACAATTGTTTGAAGTTTTATCAAGAAATATGAAATAAGTACACTTACAAAACTTTATAAAAAATTTATCAAGAATATTTTACCTAAAACGGGTTGTGCATATTATGTGGTCTTGTTCTTATAAAATGTTATCATACCGTAAACTCGTATATCAAAAGATTATTACCTAAATCATATTATTTTCTTTATCAAATCAAGACTAATATAGAGGTACTAGTCCGAAAATTACTATATCATCGACATTGTAAGCCCTAGAACACACAAAAATCCTAAACTTGTAACCAAAACTAGGGGACAAAAAATAATATCTGCTCCATCGAGTAATAATGTAATACTGCTACAATAGACTACAAAGACGAACCCTATTGGTACAAGGCATCGTATAAACAATCCCATATGCCATTACAGAGTATAGTGCATAATATTAGTTCATTTTTATAGTACGGGGCCCATATTTCTTACCTCTACGAACCCCTCGCGTCCCAGGAGACGGGACCCAAAGATCTGAAGATTTCCTACACGCATATAGAAATGCACCTGTTATTGTTATTTATGTTTGTGCCTTGTTATTTTGTTAGAAATATGGTGGAAATGTTGAATGTTTTTTTCGTTTTTTTTTTGCTTAGGTACGTTGTAATTGAAATTGGTTGTTAGTAGTGGTTTCCTTGATATATTTAAAAATTTGTTAATGTCTATTTGTTTTAAAGGAACATACTATACGGTGATTTGAAATGTAGATAATTTCCGTGTTGTTTTTAAAAGATTCAAATTATGCGAAGAGAAGTTACCTTTAAACGAAAACTAAGGTTAAGCCTTTGACTGCCCACAGAAAACTGTTGACGGCAAATCCTCCGCTAACTTAGGTCAGCGGTGACCTACGTGGCGGTTAACGTGTTAAGTAGACAAAATGACATTTCATTTTTGTATAAATACCAGTAATTGATCCAAACCCAAAAAGGAAACTACGAGGATAGACATTTGGGAAACCAAAAATCAGTGTGGAAAATATGATGCAAGCCGACCTTACGAATCACCATACACTTAGGGTTCTTTATGAATCGAAGGAAGGCGCAGAGCGGTAGTATTTGCGAAGAATTTCATCGACTTTACGATATCATCTCAGTTTTATTGATGTTAAACTCAATTCTCCATGATATGTATGGATTTTCGTAGGGCGTCAAGTTATGAAGGGGTGTTTTTGAGTAGGTATTCATAAATGGGCATATACTAAAAGAAGTGAGGGAGCCACAGGGGTTCTTATAGGAATCTTTATTTTTGTCTTTATAATGTTAAGTGATCTCAATTCTTAGATCATCTTAAACTAACCTTTTCATCTTAGTGGAAACAATAGATGAAAATTACAGCTTAGCAAAAAACGACGCTAATGCAGTGACAGCTAGGAACTAATTTTGACTGAATCTTCTACTTCGGAATATATCATATGATTAAACATAAACAATCATACGAACATAGTCATATTCGAACTCTTCTTTGTTATCTTAATAAAAATAACAAATACTCGTTTGAGATTGATTTGTAGTGTACCAGGTTGCCATAAGTACGATACTAGAGGGGTAGGACAAAACGGGTTACCGGGGCTCTGGTACGAAGTGCAAGAGTATCAACGGGGTGATTTTTAGTCAGCAAGAGAAATTTTTAGTCAGAAATCATTCGATGATTTTACCCCCATAAAAAAGGTACGATACTATCGACCTCAACTATTCTAAACTCTTTTTTTGCCAAGCTGTACATATGTGGAGAGGTCCTATTCAAAAAATAAGATTACACATTTGGATCAATCATATTTTAGGAAATCAGTAATGTGTTATCAATGCTCTCTGCATTAGTTTTATTAATACTATTAGAATTGGGTTAATTTATCATTCTGCGTACTATTCAACAGGTGTTGAGCAAATTAGTTTATAATTCAACACTTTTAAAGTAACTGTGTATGGTCATTATAGACACAATTATAGAACAATAGATTGCGGTCACCGGTGACCGCTTGGTGTTTGACAGTTTAATTGTAATAAAAGCTTTTTAAGTTTACACAATTCCTTACCAAGAAAGTATTCTCCAAAAATCTTAAACGTTTATAAATACGTTACCTGATGTGGTCTTGCGTTGTGTGGTGATGGGCCCCCTACTCCGTGATGGTACACCATGTCGTGCTTTAGCTGTGGAAGTGGGGGCCCTGGTTGTGGACCCGACTGATGCTTGCTGATGTCCACTGCTGCCAACGCCTCCGCCCTGCTCAGTAGACCATCGTTCAGCCCGCCAAATAGGTCACCCTGGGTAAAAGAGGCAGATTATTAAGACCAGCTAGCCATCTTGGACAGAAAACTGTTTTATTTAAATCAGTCTGGACGTCCTGGTTTGTGAAAACTGACTTACAGGCAGACGATAACAGTTATTTACAGTCTATGCATGAACATTACAGTTGACTATATTATGACTTTTACAAACAATCACATGGCTTTATCATGCATTAAGTCTCTCATAAAAAGGAATATTTTAAATACCTACGATCTTCTTTTTATTCTCTATTAGTAATATTTAAAAAAAAAAATGAAAATACACAATACGACTATATCTCAAGTACTTTTTATTATTCAATATACAATACAATACAATACTCAATATTCTATTCATAAATATCACAAAACACTGATTTTGTGCATAATATATTGTTAGGATCATAACTTAATTAATGACATGCAAACTATATGCTGCAATCCTATTGTTAATACTAAAAACATATGCATTAGTACAATATTGCATTTTCTAAAGCCAGTAGTAAGCAATGTCTATCCCACGACTGAAAAAATATGTTCTAAGTAATTTATAAATACTCAACTAAAACGCAAGCATGCAATAAAAAAACGAATTGCACCTACATACTGGACTAGATCAGTTGTAGAAATTGTCTTTCATACAATGTTATTGACTAACTACATATTTTAGAAGACGTCAACAATACATACATTAGAAATTAAAAGTAATACGACGAGTAAAGAAAGTTGCAACTAAACCAAATATACAAAAAATAGACCTTTAACATGAACTAAAAAATGCGTTATAAAAACAGTCCCTTCATAATTACATTACACGTAAAATTAATTTTGTCACGGGATGACAAAAATTAACACACACAAGGCAAGGTCCTTTACCAGTACTAATTTGGAATGGTATATGTGGAACATAAATAAATAAAATACAACTACCTTAGGCTGCCGCGGACAGGGGTTTTTCCCGGATTATTTTAAATAATTTATGAGAAATTCTGACCCATGAGTTAGTCCCAGACTTGTTATTTTACGCCGCTTTTACACCCCGATCCCGGCTCCGAACCAGACTTGAAATTCAATTGGTCACCGTAATTGATATTTGTTGAATTCGTATACGTACGTACGGGATTAAATGCTTCGCTGATTGCAAATATGCGTGTTTAAATAGAAGAGGTTTCGGTTAATTGTGTTCATGTGTTGTTTTATTGTGTTTACGGTTGTGCTGTGTTGCTTTAGAGGTTATCTGGAGATATATATGCATTATGTTGGGTTTATGTTAAGACGATTTATTAAAGGAACGAATTCTGTGTCCAATGATTAAATGATAATTTATTAAGAGGCCAACATATTTGTAAGTTTATTAACACCTACCAGCTGCTACACAATATTACGCCTATTATTGCCAAACAGGTAGTCAAGCACGTTATATATCAAATGTAACACCTACCTACTTTCAAGTATTTTAACCCAGTGATGTTATAGTTCCCACGTAATAGCTAAAAGGCTGGGGCGGTATTTTCGAAAACCGAAAAGACTTTTAGGTTGACTCGGGGATTCGATCTGAAACCTCTTGTTCAAGGATCACTCTTGACAAAGTCTATCAACAACACAGTCAATCAACTAGCCACTACTCTTTACTACATAATCGAACATTTACTCAAATAAACCGACACTTAAAGACCCAATCTTGTAACCCCAGACAATTTACCTTAAAACCATTTAACATTAAAAAGTCTGAGCCCATTCCATAAGTCAAGCGCAAATGTGGCTGGAGGCTAGAGTCCCGATAGATGCCCGGTTCGCGGACCGACTTCCAAACAGGCAGTTTTATGGAGCCGGACCTCTTAAAAGCCGGTAGTTCTTCGGTTTGCCAAAGCCTGCTCGTTTGGCACTGGCAAGCACGTCTGCTAGTTTTATTTGGCAGGCCCCCGGTGATTTTGTTTGCATTGGAATTTTGTGGGCTTAAATCGATTCGGTTTCTGTTCGCTCTCCGTGTTTTGGTGTTTTGATGCGATAATGGAATAGGCTTGCGAAGGGGAAAAGGCGACGATTTTTTAAGAAAAAAAGGAAATGTTGAGTTGTTTTGTCTCGGTCGACATGTGTGGTGGTTTGGATGTACGTAGCTTTTTGTTTTTTTTTTTTTCAAGAATAATTTTGAATGTTATTGGTACATTTACGGATTGTAAATAAAAATAAAAAAATAAAAATAAAAAAAAAATAAAAAAGCCTTATATTTCTTACTAGTTTACAAAGAATTGAAAAATAAAAAGATTGGTTTTACGTAATAAGATTTCCTTTGCTTTACGTCCTACTCAGTTAACGTTGCTTGTAGTAAGAACCCCTCGCGTTATACGAAGGCCTTACGGATTGTAGAGGTACATAAAATTTTTCGCTTTATTCATGTGCAAATTGTCAATAAAAAAAACAGAGACTATAGACACTGGGTGTACAGTTTCTGATCCAAAAAAATGTAATCAACCCTCAACAACGATGGTGTCCAAAATTGGACATCGAGAATATAATCCGGAGCAATTGAGCGTGGGAATTGAAGGTTGTTGGGCTTGCCCTCAGTGAAGCCATTAGTTCGCATAACCCCTCATTGTAATTGCTAACAAGTGCCCATTTGATATACGAAGCGTCGCATAATTTGCCGCGGAACACCAACGGCTGTGAAGGGTTAAATGTCGCAGAATGTATTTTGTTTTGAAATTCTATGTTAAAATATTCGAAAAGTATGTTTACATTCGTTAACAATAAAGTGCGTTACTTATTGGCATAGTTTAAGTAAAAATGGAGTCGGACTATTATCTTAATACGAAGCCAAATCTACAAGGATATGATATCTCACTTACCCTCGTAAAAACTGAATAAAATTAAGAAAGTATCTATTTTAAATAACACAAAAATATACAGTCATCGACAAAAGTCATTTAAACTTATCAAATAAATAAATCAATCTTCGAGAATAACAAAATAAATCGACTTTGTGTTCGACAAACTATCGGATGTCAAATGCGACCTAAATAATAATGGCGGACATTTTAAATAGAGCAGACGAGATATTAAAAGCTTATTCGTTTATGAACTGACTGGGAAACTGACAATGCAAATTGTTAAAAGAATATTTTCAATTTCCATTTTGGGATTTCAATACAAATAGATTTTTGAAGTTTTATTAAAAATATTTTTTATATTAAGAATTTCATGAGACAAACTAAATTAATTATTATGTTTTTCTAGTTACTCACGTAATTATTTGACGAGGAACTCGACTTGTTTTAAGCCATGCCAGAGGCTCATATTCATGAGCAGTATTCCGCGACACGCGATGCGGTGCTGCTGGTAGTAGCAGCGTGAAACTTGAATCTAGTCGAGTTCTTCGTCAAACAGTTACGTGAATAAGCCAAAAACATAATAATTTAAAAAACTTATTTGTTACTGATTCATAGTACCATTTATTATATTGTATCGTCAAGTCAGTCGACGTAAGACGATAGACGTTAGTCATACAGTCTCTTTTGTGCCTCTAGGTTTAAGTCATTCTGTCTCCATACGGCATACATTCACGGAAGGAAGCAAAAATTATCGGTTTTCTTCTTCTCCTCTATTAATCTATAATTTTCTGATTTATTTGCGGGATCCAAGGCAGTTATTCATGTCCCTGGGACGCGCCGGACTTCAGTGTTCCGGTGTTTTCATGATTGTATCTACTGTAGATCCTGACTTATAGGAGTTGCAGTGGTTTTGGGAGGCTAAGGCGGGCTTGTCGCATTAATAAAAAAATATAATTGTGTATTTGTCATCATTCTGAAACATGATGGTTAAAAAAACATGATTCATCATATTTTATAGTCGGCCAGGTCACTGTTAGAAAAGATCTCTCCTATATTTTCAGACTTCTACATTAAAAATAACTTTTTAAATAAAAAAATACTCAAAATTGAAATGCACTAAAAATAATCCTGTTTAAATTTGATTATGATTATCGGTTCATCGAAAATACCTTAACTCACTTGCTCATTCATTCGATACTCACTCGATGGAGAAAATAAACTGATGAACTAGCATAAGTTAATCAATTTGATATAACTCAAAGGGGAGCAAGCAGGGGTCCAGCATAATTCAATTGTACAGTCACAGCCCTTGTCAAACAACAATTATTACTGTCATAGTTTAAATTGCGAATGTCATAGTAACAATAAAGTGCGAGGGATCTTCAATTGTATCCGATGACGGTTTGCTTTTTTGTTATAGGAAACTATAGACAAGGCGAGATGTGATCATGCGATATTTTTTTTAGTCTTTTTACAAAATCCCCATTAGCTAAATTGTTTATTGTATATTCTTTGAGTTCATATTTTCATTAATTTGACAAAACGTGGTCTACCAATACGTTATTTTTTATTAGTTATGTGTTTTAACAAATAGTTTATTTTACTTCTATCCGTTTTTTTTTTCATTTTATTATCTAATAATAATAAATACAATATAATACTTAAAACAATTATAGTTTGTTTTGTTATTAATAACACTAACACATGTATTATAAAATCTACATTAAAACTAATAGATCTCTCAGAAAATACATCAGAGAGACGCAAACCCACCAAAACTTATCACTAAAAGCTGAAGGCATTAGTCCCGGTCTAATCCCTGCTATTATTACTCATCAGTTGCGCGTTTTAGGGTTGAAAGGCGACATGATCCCGACTGACTGTATCAAATGTCACAGAGATACGGGGACCGGTCGATTAGGCCGCTAGTGAATTCGGCGACAGAACGGTTAAGAGCTAAATATGTCAACCTAACAAACAAGTAGGCTAAAATTGGATTGGTTTTGAATGAATGTGGGCTTTTCGATAATGAAGGTATTCATCGATAACCTAAAACATGTTTTTCGTCAAAAAATGCTATTAAATTTAAAAATAATATAAGAGTTATGAAAATCAACATGTATTATATCTTTTTTATAATAACTATCGTGACATATACTAAATTGACTA